TTACTAATATTCCCTTTAACCACTTCTGGTAAGCTTAAAATGCTTGTGTTAGAAGTGGTTTATGACAGTAGTCGAATGGCGGATTCGACCCCACGACTCGAGTTCGCGGTCCGCGCCCTGCCATTAGGCTACTGACACTACGTCTTTATATACGGCAATTATATACATCTTTCATTAATTTATTCAGTTTTTTTCTACAGGAGTAATGGTAGCTTGGGGCTAAATGCTGGCTCGCGTTAAAAGTTAATTGCATTTTAAATACAATTTGCGTTTTACCTCGTGCTCGGCGGAGAAGTAAAACATCGCGAGGAAACCTGCATTTTTTTTATAGGATAAGGGTGACAAACGAGCACACAGTCCACCTGATGGTAAGTGGTTATTGCGGCCCATAGACATCTACATCTATCCTCTATTACAAATCAAAATGTAGATGAGTTGTCACCCGTGAGGACTAAGATGGAATGCCTCATTTCCAGTAAAAAAGGCCTCCGGCCACCTGCACTCACCAAGCGAAACGCAGAGGTAAACCGCTACTTCACGCTGGTTTTCTGCGAGGTCGTGGTACCACCCCGGTTCGAGCCGGCCCATACGTGCGACAGCAAAAGCTGCCGCGTGGTTCTACCACTGTAAAACTAACTAACACTGCATATATGAGAAATTAAAAAATAGCTGCACGTACACGTCGTAAAGCAGAACTCAAAATTGCAATTGACCATTTCATTGGTGCCGGCGGGGATCAAACACAGGTTGCTCGCTTACTGCTAAATTTACAGCGAGTTCTTAGTCCCTGACATACCACGGCTCATGAAGGCTGATGTAGAAGTGAAGGTTATTCCGGTGTATTGAAGAATGAAGACTCTCTAGTTCAGAAGCAATTACATTATGTGGAAATAATTTTATTACTTTTAGTAAGTTAAGTCATTTTAAATCCATAAAAAAAATTACATTTTTGTTCAGACATTAGCTCTATAAAAAGTGTCAGCTGTCTCATTTATCTAGTGGTTGTAAACGTGACTACTGATCATGAAGTCCCGGCTTCGAATCCCTGGGCGGACAAAAACATCAGTAATATAGTTTTTCCGATAAAAAATTCTCAGTAGTTGCTCGAAATCAGGACATATATATATATAGGTACTACGCACTAGATTTCGTATTCCGAACATTGACTATGTTCAACCGAACTGTACTGCAATCCGTACACTAAACTAAGTATTGCGTAATTGAAGATTTGTGAATTCCATAAGATAATTATTATTACATTTTATTTAGAAATATGTTTGTTTAGAATCAAAAATAAGAATATTTTATATTAAATTCTTATATATTTTTTATATTAGTATTTTATAATAAATTCTTATACTTATTTTATATTGATATCTTATTTTATATTAGTCTTCGCGCATGCGCGACTCTACTATCTCCCGCGCATGCGCAAAGACATAGAGTAGCGCACAATTTTTGTTTGGAATAGGTTCTCTAGTACGTAGTACATATATCTCAATGCTCGGAAATCATGTAAAGTTGTTGTTCGTGTGCCTGATCTCTCTCCGGTCGTATTGGTTTACCGTCGGACTAGAAAGTGAAAGAAATAGAGATTGCACCTGTGCTAGCGCATACACTTGGGCACTATAATCTTATTCTGCGTCGATGGCTAATATCCGTTGAGGCTGGCCGCCGTGAAAGAAATTCGGTCTGGAGGACGTTATTATAAAAAGTGTTATTAAAATATGAAATTTTTAAATTCATTTCTATTGTTACACTAATATAAAAAAAAGAAAAAATATGAGCCAACAAGTAAAATACCGTAAAAATCTGTACCTATGGGTTAAACACGCCAACACCGACGAATTCTAATGAGTGTTTCAAAAGAAAATATTATAATCACTACGCTTTTTATTTTTAAAATTTATCCAGATTTATGTTAAATATTACTTTAATTATTTAATAAAAGTAAACACTGGAACTTCCATAATAGATAAAAAAAACTTACCATTTGAACCATAGATAACGGCATCACACTCCCGCCAAAATAAAAAGAAAAAAACTGTCACAAACATAATTCTCTATAAACTTATTAATAAATACAGTAAGAAGCGATTCACGTCCTTACGCAATTCAGAGTTACCATTTAAAATTGGGAAATAAAAAAGTGTCCAAATCACGTCAGATTACAAAGCTGATAGCTCTCTTATTGATCTTTTTTATATTTGTATTTACTTTTACATAGGTATTGAGGAACGAGCTGCTAGGTCAACAAGTAATTATTATAAACCAATTTATTAAGTAATTTATATTTTTAAACATAATTAAGTAATCGGGTTTAAAATTAGGCCACGGCACTTTGATTAAAAGCAGGTTACCATATAAAGATTTCATCTTTAGAACCCAGCATTCAAATGTGCTGTGGTTTAGTGATGTATGAAACCGAAATCGTATTGAGTTAACACGACTCCACGATTGTTGAATCTTGAAGGTACCATCAGTATTATTATAGTATGCTGTGATGGTACTATTATACTTACAAGTTACTATAAAAGTAAAAGTGACTTTAGAAAACTAAAAGTAATACTAATAACTAATAACACAACGGCCTGTCGAAAGTCCATTGCCAAAAATAGGCCTCCACCATATTCCCTCATAGGAGACCACGCTTGGCAAGCGCGTTTACAATCGCAGATTTTGCAACGAAGTTCCTTATCGGACGGTACGGGACCTAGAGGACAAAAAGTGTAAGATTTCTTCGTCACTACCCCTTGTGTCATAGTGTAGACGGCCTTGGCGGCGAAATAAGGAAGTGAGATGGAATAATATCCATCTACCTCGCACTTTTTCTTATCTTGCCATGAAAGAAATATTATTTTATTTCAAATGACGCTTCATTTTAATAGACGCTAGTACATAATTCATTTATTTGTATTTGTTAATCAATAATATAATACCTACGTTTATCAATAATAATATACTATGAAAGGAAATTCGTTCCAACCGAGTGTTCCACGACACTCACGCGTGTTTTTATTTTATTTATATTACATTATATTTTAATACCGATATATCGCATTCTATGTACACTGGATGTATTTAAATTCACATTAATTTAATACTACATATTATTTTAAAATACGGGTATAATTATAATAATAATTAATAATTGTAATAAACGAATTAACTGACCACTGATGATTGGTAGAGCCACGTGACGGCTTTTGCTGTCGCACGGATGGGCCGGCTCGAACCGGGGTGGTACCACGATCTCACAGAATATCAGCGTGAAGTAGAGGTTTACCTCTGCGTTTCGCTTGGTGAGTGCAGGTGGCCGGAGGCCCTTTTTACTGGAAATGAGGCATTCCATCTTAGTCCTCACGGGTGACCACGCATCTGCATTTTGATTTGTAATAGAGGATGGATGTAGATGTCTATGGGCCGCAGCAACCACTTACCATCAGGTGGACTGTGTGCTCGTTTGTCACACTTATTCTATAAAAAAAAACCATCTAATGGTAAGCAGTTTCTGTCGCCCATGGACACTTCCAAACAAAGAGGTCACAGAAGTGTTGTAATTGTAACTCTGTATCATTCATTATATTTGCTGTATTTTTTTAAACAATTTTAGTTGACTGGTGCAAGTCTTGGATAAATTTTAAAATTATGACATTTTGAAGCATAACTTAAAACATTTTTAATTAAATGGTGTTTTTTTTTTAAATATTCCGTCCGCAAAAAAGTATTATTCTGTCAAAAAACTAAAAAAAATTCGTATAACATAATTTATTTTTATCGTATGTAAAAAAATACCACAACAAAATCAAGGATTGTCAGAAAATAAGAAGATATTTTGTCAGCTTAATAATAAATGTATTTGTGTGCCAAATAAATAAATAAATATTCTTAATACAAAATTATTATTTTATCATCAGGGTTACACAAACGAAATTCTAGCGGTGGACGTTATTGCGCAAATGTCGAAAATAAGATGTGGTAGTAAGCGGGTCGCGGGGCGGGCGTGCGTCGTTCGCACGCGGTGATTGACTCGTACATATCGTTCGCACGCGCTGATTTGCTCTCCAGTCGCATTCGTGCCATTTAATTCGTGCGCGCTCCCTCCACTTTTCGTTCAGCGCTAGACTTACGTGCCGCGACTTATAGAGTAGTCAAAATACTCAATACAGAAAATAATTACGCACTTTTGTTGGTGCAGAAATAAGATTAATTAGCAAAATAAAATTAATTTTACACGTTAACAAAATTTGATAAATCCAAATCAAGATTTGCTGTTCTATTACAAATATTACTGCAGATATTTTTAATTTCCTATGACATCTGTCATTAATTAAGGCTTCCTAATATTACGGTTACAATCTGGTTATTTTTGCCGACCACTAGAAGTAGCTCAATTTATTTTGTGTGCTTACAAAATACATTTTGGAGCTGACCAAAACCTCTTTAACTAGCTGACCGTTTAGTGGCCATTCTTAAATACCATTTTATTTGATTAATTTAGTTTTAATAATTTAAATAAAATCTTATCATTATAATAGAGTTTTTGATAAACTTTTAACTAAGCACGTTTAACTTAAGAGCAAATAAGTATTTATTTGCTCACTAAATGTATTAATTTAAAAGCTTTACGATTTTTAGAGCCGACTTTACAGACGTATCAACAAAAATTGTAATATTAATAAAGTAAAATTACTGAAAACTATTTGCAACCACAGCATGGTTTTAGTGGCACGCGTGTGCGTCCAGCACTGGACTTTTCACTTTTCAGCAGCTTAGCTTGCTTCGACATCACTTAAAATGTTCATAAAGCTCTATTTATTTTCCTTTGTAGGTGTCAGTTTTATTTAATAAAAAAAAAAGGCATATTACAAAATAACTAAACAGTCGACATAGGTAAGTTCCTTATTTTACAAAACGTCAATTTATGGCAGAGTAACAACAGAATGATAATATCAAATATCAAATTTGAGGTAGGTATTAGTTTTTTTTTTTTTTTTTTTATAGAATAGGGGGCAAACAAGCATGCGGCTCACCTGATGTTAAGTGACTACCGCCGCCCATGAACAACCGCAACACCAGGGGAATTGCAGATGCGTTGCCGGCCTTTTAGAAAGGTGTAAGCTCTTTTCTTGAAGGTTCCTAAGTCGTATCGGTTCGGAAAATTCGCTGGTGGTAATTGATTCCACAAAGAAGTTGTGCGAGGGAGAAAACTTCTTCTAAATCGCACAGTGGTGGACCGCCAATCATCCAGATGGTATGGATGGTAACGCGAGTTTTGTCGCGACGTGCGATGGTGAAATTGAGCGGCTGGAATTAGTCCGAACAATTCCTCAGAGCACTCCCCGTGATAGATGTGATAAAATACGCAAAGAGATGCAACATCTCTACGCAGTGCCAGTGTATCGAGCCGATCGGAAAGAACTCGGTCGTCGACGATTCGAATCGCTCTGCGCTGGATGCGGTCAAGTGGAAGGAGCTGGCACTGGGGTGCCCCGGCCCAGAGATGAGAACAGTATTCCATGTGAGGCCGAACTTGCGCTTTGTAAAGTTGCAAGCGATGTGCCGGCATGAAATACTGTCTCGCTCTGCTGAGCACGCCAAGCTTTTTAGAGGCCAATTTGGCCTTCCCTTCCAAGTGACCACGAAACTGCACGCTATTCGATATGTCGACGCCAAGGATTCCGATACTGGCTGAGGCAGCAAGGGGAGTGCCTTGAAACTGAGGAGATACGACAAAGGGGTTCTTTTTAGCGGTAAACGCGCAAACTTGTGTCTTCTGGGGATTGAACTGGACTAGATTTAGTCGGCCCCAATCCGAGACTTTGTTAAGCAAAGACTCGACTTCAGACACAAGTTTGTTCCGGTACTCGGCGACGTTTTCCCGAGAAATATTGGCACGGCCGGTATATAAGGCATCCCCAGTGCTGTCGTCTGCATAGCAATGAATGCTACCAGTTAGCAACATATCATTGATATGCAGGAGAAACAGCGTTGGTGATAGCACGCAGCCTTGTGGAACACCAGCGTTGATAGGCTTGTAATCAGAGCATGCACCGTCTACTACGACCTTGATGCTCCGATCAGCAAGGAAACTGGTGATCCATTTGCACAATTTCTCGGGAAGCCCATAGGAAGGAAGCTTCGAAAGAAGCGCCTTGTGCCAGACCCGATCGAAGGCCTTCGCTATGTCCAAACTAACGGCCAATGCCTCCCCCTTGGACTCTACTGCCTCCGCCCATCTATGAGTTAAGTAAACTAAAAGATCACCTGCTGATCGACCCCGACGAAAACCGTACTGACGGTCACTGATCAGCTGGTGATCCTCAAGGTACCTCATGAGCTGGCAGTTTATAATGGATTCCATTATTTTGGAGAACAAGGAGGTGATGGCGATTGGCCTGTAGTTGGACGGGTCTGAGCGGTCGCCTTTTTTAGGGATCGGGTGGACCAAAGCTGTCTTCCATGAATTCGGGACTACGCCTTGGGAGTAGGAGTACCGGAAAAGACGCGTTAAAACCGGTGCCAACTCCGGAGCACACGTCTTCAGCACAATGGGAGGGACTCCATCGGGCCCACTCGACTTGCTGACGTCCAGGGAGAAAAGTGCTTTGCGAACCGAGCGCTGTGTAAATCGCACATCCGGCATGGAGCACTCACATCGCGGGATGGTCGGCGGTGTGTTCCCCCCGTCATCTAGAGTCGAGTTGGACGCAAAAAGAGAGCACAACAGATCGGCTTTCTCTTTTGCGGCATGGGCCAGTGAGTCGTCCTCTCTGTGCAGAGATGGGAGGGATGGCTGACAGAAGTTCCCTTGGACAGCCTTGGCGAGAGACCAGAATGCACGGGTTCCCGAAGGAAGGCGAACTAGCTTCTCGCCAATTCTGCCGATGTGCTCAGACCTTGCCTTGGCAATGACGCTTTTGAAGGACCTGGAGGCGGAATTATACTTCTTTTTAAGTGCGCTGGTGTTTAAATCCCGAGACGTTGATGCGTCAGCCCAGGCCCGGTAGCACTCCTGCTTATAGCGTGATGCTATTTTACAGGAGCGACCAAACCATGGCTGGGATCTGCCTCCGATGGGCACCACAGAGGATGGAATAAAAAGTTCCATACCCTGAAGTACCACATCAGCAACAGAATCGGCAACAACGCTGGGATCTTCCGGCGAGAAGCAAACCCGCCCCCAAGGGTAGGATGCAAAAAAAGACCGCATCCCGTCCCAATCAGCTGACCTATAGTGCCAAACACGGCGGCAAGCTGTAGATCGCAACTGCGATTGGAGCGTGAGTGGCACTGTGCTCCGGATCAGACAATGGTCCGAAGAGCCCAGAGGGGCATCGACAGAGACCTGATATCCGTCCGGATGAGAGGTCAGCAGAAGGTCCAACAGGGAAGGTACATGGTCTTCCACATCTGGGATCCGCGTAGGCGAAGTAACCAGTTGTGTTAGACCATATGCCAAAGCAAAGTCGTAGACAGATCTACCCGCATGATCGGTTGAACGAGAACCAAGCCATTCAGCGTGGTGGGCGTTGAAATCACCGAGTATCACGATCTCTGCGGATGGGACCTGTTGTAGCACGGAGTCTGCAGCCATTTGGACGTGGTCGATGAGTCGGTCTGTGTCGGCATTACCGCTATGGGACCTATAGAGGCACCCGTAGACGCGGGGATGGTCGTCGCTGTCTACGCGCAGCCATAGGATGGACAGGTCCGTACCTTCAAGGCTGCCGAGGCGTCGAAAACAGATGTCCTCTCTGACGTATACACAAACTCCAGCCCGGGGCACAAAGGAGTGTTCCAATTTGTACCCCGGGTAGGAGAGATATGAAGTATCAGCCGGAGAGGACACCTGAGTCTCGGTTAAAAAGAGCAAGGCCGGCTTCGCCGTCTCTAGATGGTAATGGACAGCGTTAAGGTTGGAATGAAGTCCCCTGATGTTGCAAAAATTCACGGATAGCGTGACAGGGGTCGCCTTGGTTGTATTGCTCCGCTTGCCCCGAGCAGCATTAGTCACGAGCGGAATTTTGCCCCCCCCAGAATACGCGGGGCAGCCTGAGCACCCACGCTCAGGAGTGAAGTAGTTTGTTCGTGGATGCTCAGCGAGGGATTCTCCAGGGTTGCTGGTACCCTCCTGGGGTAGTCTTGTATTTAATTCCACTACCATGTTGATGGGGGGGGGGGGAATTGGGCCTCCGGCCACCTGCACTCACCAAACGCAACGCAGAGGTAAACCTCTACTTCACGCTGGTATTCTGTGAGGTCGTGGTACCACCCCGGTTCGAGCTGGCCCATCCGTGCGACAGCAAAAGCTACCGCTTGGCTCTACCACTGTTAGTTGTTAGTTTCTTCGGGATTACAATATATTAAAGTTCCATTTTAATTTAGGTGTTAATGTTGGAGATAATGGGTAGTTGACAATTATACAAGTTCGATCACGGCGCCATTTTTGTTAATTTATAGTTGTAAGAAGTATAAGGCAAGCGAAGTATAGGGCAGCCCCCACTATATTGAGTGACGATCTGGTAACTTTCTATCAAGAAATGTCAGCAGCAGCCCAGAGTCACTAAGTTGGTGGTATTTCACGCCTGTAAATCAGAAAACACGTAAAGCTGTTTAAGCCTGTTGGTCCTAAGTCTGCTTGTGTCGCTGGTCGTGTCCGATTGCCATCCTAATTGCTGACCTCTTACGCACACACTCGTGCACTATAATAAAGTCCTGCGCAGATGTCTAATCTCCGTTGAGTCTGGTCTCCGTGATCTTAATTCGGTCATTATTCGGACATTACATTCTTTAACTTTGACCTAAGAAAACTCGTGTACCATTATTTACAGAAATTTAGGCAGTATAATTTGAATTTTCACCAATAAATAAACTTCATTTACTCTTGATAGTAAGAGATGCAGGAAGTCGATGTATGCTGATGACTCACGACCGCGCTTTGTGGCCCACGCTCTGCAGTGGACTCGTGATGGGTTATAATGATGACGTTTATAAAGAAGAAGGATAAGGAATAATGCCGAGAAAGCGAAATCAGGGGCATTAGATTTTCTTAAAAATAAGATCTCACATAAAAGATTGAAAGGGGTTGCTTGAAAATTTTCGGCTCATAGAACTGCGACTGCATCATGCAGTCCCTATATAACCCCCCACCCTATACAATCATCGACGATGCCGTTGAATCTCTCCGCGTAAAGCTTATTGGTTTTAAAAATGAATGTGGAGACATCAGAATCGTTGTCCATCTTGGGCGCCGCATCGGCCTCCACTGTCACTGCTGGCAGGATCATCACGCCAATCAGCAACATGTGCGGAAGTTTCTGCAACATGTACAGTGTTGTCGTTAGCACTATTAAAATTTAGTGTATCGTGTCGGTTTTATAAAAGCAGTTATTACTAAAGGACACACAGTCTAACTGTTTCACCTAAATCCCTCTGGAATGGTTATAACTGTCGCACGAGTAGGTTTACTCGACTGGAGAAAGATCAGACATTTTTATTCGTAGTAGAGCCAGCATGCAACATATTATGGTAGTAACAAGGATAGGTCGGAGCGACCGGGAAAAGACAACGCTTTCATAGAATATCGGCGTGAAATAGCAGCTTAATGCCACTGTGTTTAGTGTAGTGATTGTAGAGAACCGGAGATTATTTATAATGGAAACGAGGTATTACAGTTTAATTCTCATGTGTGATAACTTTGCATATAGTATAGATACACATAGACATACTATAGATTACATATAGATATAGTATAGAATAGAGTAGAATTTTACGAGCTCCAGCATACGAGTACACTTAGCATAAAGTGGACTGTGGTTTCATTTGTCGTCTTTACTAGAATGAAAAATATACCCCAACCGGCTTATGTAGTATCGTCAAGGTCAAACAACGTGAGAAAATATGCTATATTTATTAATTATTCGCCTACCACCGCGAGTTTCTCCCATATAATGAGAAATTTATAGAAGGTTCGTGACTAGCAGGAGATTACAGGCTAGTAATAAAAAATTATATTTCACTAAACGACATTGTTGTGCGTCCATACAATGTTCGCCTAAGAACCAACAATGAAATAGAAATACCTTTTCTACCGACTTCCAAACAGGAGACGGTACTCAATTCGACTGTATGTTTTTTTTATGTGTGTTACCTGATAACTTTTTACTGAGTGAACCAATTTCGATGATTCTTTTTTTATTTGAAAGCTGGTACCTCTCGTGTGGTCCCACATGAATTTGATCAAGGTCAGACCAATAGTATTTGAGTTATTCTTAATAACTTATACTGAAGTCGGCTGTACAATTTTTTTTATTTTAAATTATTATGTTCGAAATTACACATAATTGTATGTAAGAACAATAACTCCTGAAGGACACTGAAAACATAGATATTAGCAGTTATCATGGAGATTTTGGGGTTATGTTTTATTTTTTTTGAAACATTACTATGTTATTGCTAACGTAAGCAGTTCAGTCTTTGCCTAGCACTTATACGGTAAATAAAACTCAGGTTGTCATTAGGTAAACTTATCGCATAAAAATCCAACTTTATTTATTGTATAGTGTCCGTAGATCATTCTGCAACGCAGACAAATGGAATATTAAATATATTCCATCAAATCTGTTAAATTCGGCAACACGTCCTTAAACACCATGGCGAACTGTTCCCGAGCCCTTATCGTTCAAAAAATGACAGTATGACCTTTAAATAATCCCATGTAACAGAACATTTTTGCCATTGTTTCCACGTTTGGCAGGCAGGGTTGGCAAGCGAAGCCTTTTAATATTATTAATTTACAGGAAGATTTTTGTTAAAGAATAATGTCCACCTGACAGTAAGTAGAGACTGTGACACATAGACCTCTAAACTTATGCTCGATTAAGAATTAATATGCAGATATGTTGCCACCCCTGAGGACTAAGATGGAGTTCTTCGTTTCCAGTAAAATGGGTCTCCGTTTCACTTCACTCACCATACGAAACACAGCAGCGTTAAGGTGTTATTTTACGCTGCCCGGTCGAGCCGGCCCATTCATGCTACAACTATACTACTAATATAGCTGCTGCATGGCTCTAACACGTGAAAGATGCTGCTGTCTATCTGTTTTATTTTCTACCGACTTTAAAAAGGAGACGGTACTCAATTCGACTGTATGTTTTTTTATGTGTGTTACCTCATAACTTTTTACTGGGTTAACCGATTTCGATGATTTTTTTTAATTGAAAGCTTGTACTTCACATGTGGTCCCATATAAATCAAGGTCTGACCAATACTTTTTGAGTTATTCTTAATAATTTATATTGAAGTTGGCTGTAGGTACAAATTTTTAATTATTATCCTCTGTCGCCTCTTAGGATAAACATGAGATGTTATTGGGTATTATGCTACGCTAATACTATGAAAAATAATATATGAGGCAATGTGTGGGGGAGGCCTATGTTCAATTGTGGACTTATGATAGACTGTAGTGTAGTTTCTTGTGTGTAACGTAACATACTTCTTTCAACTCCTTATCGAAGATCTCCCTCGGGTAGACGTCCACAATGTCCAAGGAAAACCTCTGCAACGCCAGGGCCAGCTGCTCATAATAGAAGTCAATAAGCTGGTGGAAGTGCTTAGCTCGGAACTGCTGGTCCGAGCCCACTGTGATGAAGTACAGCACATCATTCAATGGACATCCAGAGTGCACTAACTGGTAATCAACTGGGACCACTTGGAGACGGCCGTTCTGGAAACAAGAAGTATACAATGGGTTACTATAAATATTTATTACTGACCGTGTAATGGCGATATAAGAATATCCACTAGCCATATCATCCCGTGAGTGTAGTAAGAGGCGGCAGAGGTAAAAAAATCAGAAGATGGGCAGCAGCGTCTACCTAATAACGAGTAAAAATAAAAAATAAACTGTGGTTGCCGAGCCGCTTGCCAAGCGTGGCAACTATGGCAAATATGCCTCTTGGGGGCAATTTAAGTGGGAGGAGAGGTCAGTGGACTTTAATAGGCTTTAACGGTAACGGCAATATAAATATTTAGTTTCTCTATGTATTTTTACGTGGTAGAGCCATGCTGCAGCTATATTAGTAGTATAGTTGTAACACGAATGGGTCGGCTCGACCGGGGAAGAACCACTCTCTCACAGAATACCAGCGTCAAATAGCAGCTTAACGCTGCTGTGTTTCGTATGGTGAGTGTAGAGAACCGGAAACCTATTTTATTGGAAAAGAGGCATTTCATCTTAGTCCCCACGGGTGGCGACGCATCTGCATTTTGATTCTTTATTGAGGATAAATGTAGATGTTTATGGGTCATAGCAACCACTTACCATCAGGTGGACTGTGTGCTCGTTTGTCACCCTATCCTATAAAAAAATATATACTTTATTCTATCAACATATTAATAGTCAGGGATTACTTTGCGGAAATCTATTGTAAAATATATATTTAAGACTAGCGACCCGCCCCGGCTTGGCCTGAGTAGAATCTATAAATGTGGGGTTAATTGGATTTAACATAATCACCGGAAACCATTTATTTTGCCGATTTTTCATTAAAACCTACAAGGTTTTCAAACTAAATATAGCCTATATCACTCCTGAAATTTCTCTCTCACTTTTCGTGAAGTTTCATTACAATCTGGCAGAACCGATTGTAATGAAACTTCACGAAAAAGTAGAGAGAAAATCGTCGGAAGATTAGCTCGGACAGACAGACAGAACAGACAATTCTAAAAAATGGTTATTAATGTCTTGATGACAAATAACTCCTTCAGCTCAAAATATATATCTGTCTGTATATATATGAATATGTAGATGTATATATATACACATATACATATACATATACACATATATATATATATATATATATATATATATATATATATATATAAATTACGTGTCACGTTGTTTGTCCGCGATGAACTCCTAAACCACTGAACTGATTTCAATGAAATTTTGCATACTGTGTGCATTTGGTCCAACTTGAGAGATAGAATAGTTTTTATCCCGATAAGTGACCTTAAATTTTTTTATTCCTAATTTTAAATTTTTTTATTGTTTATATTAAATTTAATTGCTAATCTCAGCAGTTTATTTTAGGAAAGCAAATGGTCGCAGAACAGCAGAACAACGTCTGCCTGAAGTTTGGTATATATGCTAGATTTTACCAATGACTATTAGTAAATGTTGATTTTGAAAATAAATATACATAATAAAAGTAGAAAGTATAAAACATTAAATAATGTTACATGTTAAATTTTAAAACAAATTTATGATGAGTTTTTAAAATAGAATACTCTAAAATAAAGAAATACTTATTTGTTTTCTTCTCACAAACACCTACGTTTCCTAAGCTTACTTACTATTCATTAATTTTTTATCATATTAGCATCATCATTACAGCCCTTAACAAGTCCACTGCTGAACATAGGCCTCCCACAAGGAATGCCACAAGCTACGGTCCTGAGCTAACTTCATCCATTGACTTCCTGCATGTCTTACCAGGTCGTCACTGCATATAGTGGAGTGTCATCCTACACTTCGTCTGCCACTAAAGAACCTTTCTTCCCCATTGGTTGTCGATTCTTCGAGATATCTGGTCGGCCCGTTGCCATATTTATTGGACAATGCCTTTGACGACTCTGAATTACATTCTTGGCGGTAGTATAATTGTTCCGCATTTAGCTTCATTTTCATTGGAGATCCAAACATTGCGTCTTATGAGGTTCTTTTGACTCCCTCGTTGCATGCTCTATTTTTCATTGCCTGAATGAATTTTAAACACTCTAACCATTTTAACATTTACTTTTCTAAACACTGCGTATTTAGCTCTATCGAGATAAAAGTTAATGTCTTTTTTGCAAGTCACGAGTTCGTCTTGTACATTTTGTCTCGTAAATACTTCTAGATAACAAAAACGTACGGACTATGCGACCGACTGTAGCGAGCGGAGACAAGGGACCCGGGTGGGTAGGGGCGGGGAGGTGCGTCGAACACTTCTAGCACAGAGTAAAGAGTCGGTTTCTTTACTCATGTGCTTCTAGCCATGACTATTTTTCACTATCTTACGTGCCTATAAGGCACTGTATATGTATATATATACACACACACATATATATATATATATATATATATATATATATATATATATATATATATATATCTTTATATATAAAAATTACGTGTCACGTTGTTTGTCCGCGATGAACTCCTTAACTACTGAACTGATTTCAATAAAATTTTGCACACAGTGTGCAGTTCGGTCCAACTTGAAAGATAGGACAGTTTTTATCCCGATAAGTGACTTCAATATTTTTTTATTGTGAATTTAAGGATTTTTTTAATAGGACAAAGGGTCGTCGGCATGGGCAGAACAACGTCTGCCTAGCAAACTAATATATATATATATTATTCCTCAATCATTAAATATAGTCATAGTTATTTATTTCGAAAACAATGTAATTTGTGCGAGGAAAACATTATTAAAACATAAAATAAAATTAATCAACATTTTTTTGTATTTCCTTCAAAAATTCTTGAAATTAATTAATAATTAAATTATGCATTCAATATAACTTTATACCTAATTAAATGTAATTTTACATAGATATAATATGTGTACGTGCTAATAATAATTTCAAATTAAAAATTTTGTACAGCCGACTTCAATATAAGTTATTTAAGAATAACTTAAAAACTATTGGTCTGACCTTGATCAAATTCATATGGGACCACACGAGAAGTACCAGCTTTCAAATAAAAAAAGAATCATCGAAATCGGTTCACCCAGAAAAAAGTTCTGAGGTAACACACATAAAAAAAAAACGAAAAAAAAAAACATACAGTCGAATTGAGTACCGGCTCCTTTTTGGAAGTCGGCAGAAAATTTGCATGACAATAAAACAATTGCGTCAGCGAGTTCTATACTGGGAAGCTGGTTTCATTGTAAACATATGTGGCAGATTTCTGCCGTTTGAGCAAATCTGATTTCTTAATTTATATTCTGAGTTCTGACATATTTTACTAACGTTTTATATAAAAAGTGATAGGATTTGGCAAATTTGACAATATTTGACAAACTCTTTATTATTTTGGAGAAGCAATCGAAAAAAAATTGTTTTAAGACAATGAATAAAATACTGAAAATAAAACTTTTGTTCAAAGCGAGTCTACTCGGATTTTAAAGTTGTAAGTGATTCTTTTCCGTCAGATTTATAAAGAACCATTCCCGACCTTTCTGATAAAAATCATATAAATTGGTCAAGCTTTTTCAAAAAACATAGGTAATGGGTAACGAGCTAACTTTTTTTTACTTAATGTATATTATATTTGATAATTTAAAATTGTAATAGTTCACTTGAGAGTTTCTTGCTGATTCTGCTATATTTCATTTGCAGCTTGTAATGCTAATGTGTTTCATAAGGTAAGTGTAGAGAACCGAAGACCTTCCTTATTGATAACGAGGCATTCTATTTAAGTTCTTAGGGGTGACAACGCATCTACATTATGATTTTATCGAGGATAGATACAGGTATCTGTGAATAGAATAGAATAATTGTCATTAAAATATAGATTACAAGAGCGAGAAACCCAGCGAGACTTTGTTTTTTTTACATAAATTTACAATTTATTTAAGGGTCACATTATACACTTAGCATCACGTGGGCTGTGTGCTCGTTTGTCACCCTTATTCTTTGAAAACTTAAATAATGTTATACTCTGTTACTTCTTTACAATGTTCTATTTAATCCTTCCTATCCTTCTTATCTTAAGGATCGCTTTGAATTCATTCACTATTCCCATTCGAAAGTTTTGAGATCATCAGAAAATTTTACATTAAAAATGCCTGCCCATATTACCAAATTTTGGACAGGTCGTTTACTATCCAAGCAGTCCGTCTATGGAATGCCCTACCTCTGTCAGTGAGACGCGCCCAATCTTTATCTGTTTTTCAGAAGCTTGTCCACAATCACTATCTTAACCTGTAAATTCGTGCCATCTAAATATGTATGCATTCGTATTTATGTCTTTATTTTTTATTTATTTCTATATATTATAATAAAATCATAATAAATATTGTTTTTGCATCACCAAACCACACAATTTTCTGCTTTTTGTAATCCTGTCCATCCAAAGGTTGTCTGGAAGAAATCGCTTTTAGCGATAACACCGCCCATTGTGTCACTATATTTTTTTCTTTTTCTTTCGTCTATGTATTGATTTGGTGTACAATAAAGAATTATCTATCTACGAGTATCTATCTATTCAGATACGTAAAAGTAAGTGTGATTTTTTGCGCGATTTGAGCTACCCACGGCCTAAAACTAAATATTTAGGCTCTATTTGATCATTCCACAAAAAATTGAGCTTTTTTTTTAATACCATAACTTGTAACAATGTTTAAATAAAGTTTGTAAAATACTGATAACATTGTGTTGTAAAACACTCTTATTTGTTCAACCGAATTAAAAAAAATTGTCAAATTACATGGTTTCAATCACAGTACAGTCACATACAGTCCATGATCATCACTAGTGATCTCAAATATTGAGTTTCCAATATTAAAATATTGAATCAATTAAATATAGTTGAAGAAGACCTAAAGTCTCATACCTTCGAAGTTCTACCCCGTTTGCAGTCTAAATACTTTATTGGTTAGCTCCCTATTTTATGATATATATATATATATATATATATATATATATATATATATATATATATATATATATATATTGTTACCTTGATTTCTCATAATTACTTTATTTTTGCTGCACTACTTCCCATATGTTAATCTCTGATTAGCATAATGGTTAACTGGGGGAGCATCCCTTAAAGCATTAAGTCCGCCATATGATTTTTTGTGCATAAAAGTATAGTATCTATTCAAATAAATAAAATTGAAGTGTCTGTTTGTAATGTCGAAATAACAGCTTTTTTACTATATGCATACGAAAGTATATACAATACTCATAACAAAAACACAATTTTAAAATTTTTGTCTGTCTGTCTTTCTGTATGTCTGTCTGTCTGTTTGTTTCGGCTAATCTCCAAAACGGCTGAACCGATTTTGACCGGACTTTCACTGAGAGATAGCTGATGTTATAAGAAGTAAGCTAGGCCACTTTTATTTTAGAAAAAAAATTAGGGTTCCGCGCAAAAAATTAAAACCCATCAAATCCAATCGTAATAAATTACGTGTGGAACAGCTAGCCTCATATAAATTAATTAATTCACTATAGCCCAACAAGTCCATTGGATCATGTTATCCTTGCCACGCTTGGAAGGCGGGTTGGCAAGTGCAGTATTTTATTATTTTCTTTTATCTGAAGGATCCTGTTTCAGTTTCCTACTGTTTCCTCTTACGTCACCCACGAAGTAATAAGGGGTAGTGGATATTCTTATACCGCCACTACTACTACTAGCAAAATGTTATAAAATATGTGATAACACCCTACCCGATCCAAGAGAGGCACATAGGTACCGCAATGATTAAAACATATTAATAATGCATATAACATTTAATGCATGTAAATACGTTATTGTTATTTGAAATAGCATTTAATGCATATAGAAACGTTATTGTTATTTGAAATAACATTTAATGCATATAAAAACGTTATTGTTATTTGAAATAACATTTAATGCATATAAAAACGTTATTGTTATTTGAAATAACATTTAATGTATATAAAAACGTTATTGTTATTTGAAATAACATTTCATGCATAAAAAAACGTTATTGTTATTTGAAATAACATTTAATGCATATAAAACGGTATTGTTATTTAAAATAACATTTAATGTATATAAAAATGAATTTTTACTATAATTTTAAAATGTATGTTTTCCTATAATTTGTTAATAACTGGGCAATTTTAAGCGACTTCAAACAAAGGAGGAGTTTCTCAATTCGACTGTATTTTTTAATTTTTTATGTGTGTTACCTCTGAACCTTTTTTCTAGGTGAACTGATTTTGATGATTATTTTTTATTTAAAAGCTGGAACTTGTCATGTGTAGTCCCATATAAATTTCATCAAGATCTGACCAGTAGTTGAGTTATCCTTAATAATGCGTATTTAATTGACTTCGACTACATTGGTAATGTTCTCATTTTATTTATATTGAAGTCGGTTGTACGAAATTTTTAATTTTACCACTTATTTAAAATCCGGTAACACTGTCGGCAACGGTATCTTAATGGCCATGTAAGTTTCCTCATTTACTTTAAACAAAGTAAAAAGTTACCCCGCAAACGCGGGGTAACTTTTTATTTATTATCTGAAAATAACTTCATGAACAGAATCTACGTGGTGAATATACGTGGTAGAGCCATGCTGCAGCTATATTACTGGTATAGTTGTAGCACGAATGGGTCGGCTCGACCAGTGAAGGACCACGCTCTCACATAATACCAGCGTAAAATAGCAGCTAAACACTGATGTGTTTTGTATGGTAAGTGTAGAGAACCGGAGACCACTTTTACTGGAAAAAAGGCATCCCGTCTTAGTCCTCACGGGTAATAACGCATCTGCATTTCGATTCTTTATTGAGAATATATGTAGATGTCTATGGGTCACAGCAACCACTTACCATCAGGTGGACTGTGTGCTCGTTTATCACCCTAATTCTATATAAAAAAAAGAATCACATTATCACACTATCAAGTCGCATTTTACGACTCTCGCAAGAAATAAAATAATATACTAATAACAATTATAGTAGGTAGGTAGACTCAATCCGATCAATTTTAATGTGATAACCCTAGCCGTAAGTGTGTCAACGCACTCGAGCGTTTCGTATCTCCTTGACCTTGGCACGGTTTGCCGTTTGCATGTCCGAGTGTCCTTTAGTATTGACACCTAAAATTTGAAACAGTTTCTCCCGCAATCAATATGCTGAGAACAAAATATATAAAAATATTCTCGATGTTCTGAGTAACAAGAGACAGTGTGGTAGCAGCGTAAACGAGTCTAACAACTTATATCGTACCATTGATGTCGTAAAAGGATATATACTATAGGAAATATATTAGTACGTCGGTGATCGCATTAGTTATAAATATAATGACGGCTCCGTGGCGCAGTGGCTTAGCAATGAGTTGCAATGGGGGCCGCGGGTCCGAAACCCGCACGGAACAAGTATTTGTACCTACAAACAATTGTTCCGGGTCTGGATGTTTGTCCTCGTGCAATCTATGTTTGTAAACTGCCTCCACGGTATAGGAGAAAATACTAGTGTGGGGGTAACGTTTTTATATTTAAAAACCAAAAAAATTCTCAAGGTTACACTTATGTAAATAAACTTGCAAAGTAATCCAAGTTTGTTGTTTTATGTGTGTAAACACGGAGAAATTGAATTCCCCAGAAATTCTAACTAGATTGATCGATTTTTTGCCTTTGTAAGCATCTACTTTGTGAATTTTATCGAATTCGTTATAGCCGAGGTAGAGAGTTTTCGAGAACGCGATTAGAAACAAATAAAAAGGTTGACATAGGAGCACGCAGTCTGCCTGATAGTAAGTGGATGCTGTGACCCATAGACATCTATATTTATCCTGAATTAAGAATTAAGAATCAAATACAGATGCACCGTCATCACCTCTGGGGATTACACTCACAATACGAAACACAGAGGCATTAAGCTGCTATTTTACGCTGGTATTTTGTGAGAGCGTGGTCGTAATCTGGTCGAGTCGACTCATTCGTGCTACAACCATAATATAGCTGGCAGCGTGATTTTACAGAAAACAATCTCACATAATATACAAAATAATGTTACATAATTATTGATCCTATTACAAATATCTTATCACACCTTTATTATCAACCAACTAAATCGTCGTTATAAAATTATTATACCAGATACGCTCGCTTAGTAATATAATTAATCTAAGTACTTAATCCTTATCACTTTTTATGTGTATAATAAGTAATTATAATGCTTTAAAAATTAAGGGATCGACCGTATCGTGAATATTGTATAACATTAAAATGTACACTGGGATTTTTTAATTATGGACTATTTGGTGATCGATTATGAGATAAAGAATAAAGGATATGTCTCGTTTGTCACCTTTATTCTATAAAATATAGGTTTTTTATCTTATCTATCTTCTTTTTAGTTTACAAACATAAATTTTACAAGGACAAAGATCCAGACCCGGAACAATTATATGTAGGTCATACATGAAAGCTGTGGCCCTCAGCACTGCAATTCAATGATAAGCCATCGCTCAACAGAGTCGCCTTCTTTGTTTGAAGTTGAATGCAAGTGTTCAAGGGCAAAAGTAGCTAGTAACTACCATCAGTCGAGTCGTAAGTTTATTTGTCAATTTAACATAATAAATCCACATTGGCTATTGATAGATATTAAACAGTTTCAATTATGCTGACGGGACTCGAACTGGGGTTGCTAGAATACTATAAAATATGAGGAGTACGATTGTCACAAAAATGATATGAAGCCTAAAATTAAAGTTACAGCCTTTACACGCCCCACAGCTAAATACAGGCCTCTTCATTCCTAAGAGGGTTTTAGGGCAAGAATATGTCCGCCGCACTGCCACAATGCGTGTTGGCGAACTTCACATGTCTTCGAACTATTTATTTTTAAATTTCACATTTGCAGGTATCCTCAAGATGTTTTCTTTGACAGCCGAGCATGTGGTAAATCAGCACTTAAAATTGCAATTAACGATTTCATTGGTTCTAGCGGGTTGCTGTGATGAGCCCTAATATACCGTCTATTCGACAAACCCCTGAGCTACCACTGCTGTAATATAACGGACGTTTGCGTTCACTTTATGACGCTTTTTACGGGAAACGAGGAATTCCATCTTAGTTCTCCGGGGGTCACAACGCGTCTACATTTTGAGTCTTAATCGAGGATAGGTGTAGATGTCTATGGGCCACAGTATCCACTTACCATCAGGTGGACTGTGTGTTCGTTTGCCGCCCTTATTCTGTAAACAATAACGCTCACTTGAATATATTAAATGCAATTAAAACATTTGTTTTGGCGAACCTCTCACTGAGTAATATTAGTTTGAAAATACATAAACAGCACACGTTGATCATGAGCTGCGATGATTCCTACTAGAATACTGGGTCATTATTCAAAAGTTTAGACCATCGAAACGTTCGGTTAATCTGTGCTTGATTGTGTTAGTTTTATTAAAAAAAAAAAACATAATTTGCTTAATGATTTTTATATAATATGTGGAGTTCGCATAACTATGATAAATATTCTTGTGTAGGATTTAGCCATATTTTACTTTAATTTAATTTTCCCAAAATTGTATACTATTTCTTACGGAAAATAAAATTACGTGATATTTGTCGAGACCCACCCTCTCCCCCGCGTGGGACAGGGTGAGATACTGCTAAATACCTCAATTAATTAATGGACGCCCCCTTATACAAAAACAGAAAATGGTAAAAGTTTTAACTCACCTGTTTTTTAAATAACAAATTGCTAAGTCTGTAATCACCGTGCGCTAAAACAATCTTGTCTACCGGCTTGTTGTAATTCTTCATAACGTTTTCATCATACACTATTTTTCTAACTCTATCTCTATTCTCCTCTCTAATCACTGCTAATGACACTTCTACCAGCTGCACCCAGAAACTCTCCAACGACTTATCCTCCTCAGATCCTATCTTATATTGCATGTCTTTCGTAACTTTCTGGAACTCCTCAGGGTTTTCCTTCTCATACGCGAAGGAAAGAGCGTGGAACTTGGCCAAAGTTTCCATAGACACTGACGCGTACTCCCAGTCCATAGGTCGGAATCTGTCATAACATCCGTACCCAGCGGCAGCTAAGTCCTCCGTTACAATTGTCTCGTTCCCGTGTTCCGAGCTTAAGCCGAAAAACTTCGGGAAGACGTATCTGTGCTCGTTTTCCACACCGTGACGTAACTGCAGATCCTGGTAAATGTTAGCCAGTTTCGTGTAAACGAATTGTTCGGTTGAATACATCCAATCGGCGTTGATTTTCTCCCTCATCGAATCACCGAACGCTGCTACCTTCGCGAATAGATGCAGTTCGTCATCCTTCACCGAGGACACCGTGACTCGGAACAAAGCTGACGTATAATTTGCACCGCCACTATCGAATTTATCGACTTCGACCTCGCATCCGTCACGTTTTTTTTCTGCGAGGATCTTTTTTATCAGATCGCGTAGTTGCTGCGCGTCCGCCATCTCTGGCCTCTGCTAAATCACTAATCAAACTATTATCGTGACTGTCGCTGAATGAATACGATACTGAACGTTCGCTAAATGTGCACCTACATAAATTTAAACTGTTGCAATTGCTAAATATTCTTAGAAATTTGGTAATCTATTAAGTGATAAATAACACGTAGTGAATAAATTCTCTACGGCGATAGAAGTAAGGTATGCATACTAAGTTTATCTTCGTTATGTTTTTAATTAAGATCAAAGTTTATCTTCTATTCCGCATAACAACTTGTGATTTTAAACATTCCGAGCAATCCTAGCGCATACTAAACTATCCTGCGATAGCTTATAATGAATAATTGAATTTAAAAATAAAGCTTTATAATTCTAATTCCTAGCCCCCACACGAGTTCACCCCTGTCTGCGCCTGAAATTGTTATGATAATCTTAAGTGCTTATTTGCCTCGCATTCAGCGGTGAAGGATGAGACGTCGTGAGAAAATCTGCAAAACTGAAAAAATAAAGAAAAATTTCAAGGTCATATCTTGTCAGGCTCACACATATTAAGGCATCACGTGGGCATGGCAGATTTAACCGTGCTTCGCACCAGGATGTTTACAGATTACTGTAGTTTATTTCATTTTTTATGTACTTTATTTCACTTTAATCAATCGACGGATTCAACTCGGTTGGGCAGCGTTCGGGAAATTACGGCACATTTTCTCGTCAGGTATACCTCAAAAACTTGAAAAAAAACTTGAAAACGAGACTGTACAACCAGTGCGTGTTGCCAGTGATGACATACGGAACTGAGACGTGGTCCTTCACTGGCCGGATGAGAAAGCTCAAGGTCGCTCAGCGAGCTATGGAGAGGGCTATGCTCGGAGTTTCTCTGCGTGATAAACTCAGAAATGAGGATATCCGCAGTAGAACCAGAGTGACCGACATAGCCCAACGGATTAGTAAGCTGAAGTGGCAATAGGCTAGCCATTTAGCTCGAAGAACCGACAACCGTTGGGGAAAAAAGGTTCTCGAGTGGCAGCATCATACCGGCAGGCGAAGTGTAGTGCGTCCCCCCACTAGATGGAGTGACGACCTGGTAAGATATGCAGGAAGTCGATGGATGCAGGTGGCTCAGGACCGTGCTTTGTGGCATTCCTTGGGGGAGGCCTATGTTCAGCAGTGGACTTGTGAAGGGCTGTAATGATAATGATGATTATTTCATTTTTAACCGTGTAAGTGACTGTGTAAGAATATCCACTACCCCATATTGTCCCGTGGGTGTCGTGAGAGGCGGCAAAGGGAAACTCAAACTGAAACAGAAAATGGACCGCAGCATCGTCCTGATGTCAACCGAAAATAATAAAAACTGCGGATGCCAACCCAAGTATGGCAACTATGACAAAATCCTATGAGGCAATCTATGGGTAGGCCTATGTTCAGCAGTGGAATTTTATAGGCTGTTATGAATTGTTGGATGGATTTTATTTTTGAGCGATGATGACCTTCTGATCATCATCACCAGCGGCGGACTGCAGCATCAAAAGAATATAATGGAATAGAATTCTCTTTCTGCCGATTTCCAAAAAGGAGACGGTACGCAATTCGACTGTATGTTTTTTTTTATGTGTGTTACCTCATAACTTTTTACTGGGTGAACCGATTTCAATGATTCTTTTTTTATTGGAAAGTTGATACTTCTCGTGTGGTCCCACATGAATTTGATCAAGGTTAGACCAATAGTTATTGAGTTATTCTTAATAACTTATATTGAAGTCGGCTGTACAAAATTTTTAATTTTAAATTATGTTCAATGTAGATTGCAAGAATGCTTATTGAAAATTCTTTTTTACTTTTATCACCGGTTCGGAAACAAATTCTTTTAATCCTGGGAAGAACTAGCAAGAAACCAAGCGGAACTTGAGTTTTACAATTAGTATAAAAACATCTAGAAACAACATGGTAGCGATCACCTCAATCCCAGTGATTATTACCAATCATGATCTCTTTAGTCGTTTTTGCATAAAAAAATTAACCTTTAGATAGATAAGGCCTGCATATTTTCTTGGACTTTGTTGTATACATTGCCCCATGATAGAATTACCAACTTTTTGGAGTCGAGTAACTGGTATAACTAGCTTGTGCTTGTTCCTAGTGTTTACAGAATGTTTATCACTATTTTCTGCCGACTTCCAAAAAGGAGACGGTACTCAATTCGACTGTATGTTTTTTTTATGTGTGTTACCTCATAACTTTGTACTGAATGACTCGTTTTCGATGATCCTTTTTTATTGGAAAGATGGTACTTTTCGTGTGGTTCCATATGAATTTGATTAAGGTCAGAACAATAGTTTTTGAATTATTCTTAATAACTTATATTGAAATCGGCTGTACAAAATTTTTAATTTTTAATTATTAATAAAACTATTTTTGTTTTTGTATGATGCGACACGTTTGGTACAGCGATTGTCAGTCGGCCTTACGTGGTAGAGCCATGCTGCAGCTATATTAGTAGTATAGTTGTAGCACGAATGGTTCAACTCGACCGAGGAAGGACCACGCTCTCACAGAATACCTACGTAAAATGGCAGCTTGACTCTGCTGTGTTTCGTATGGTGAGTGTAGAGTGGATACCTATTTTACTGGAGAAAAGGCATTTCATCTAAGTCCTCACGGGTGACGACGCATCTGAATTTTGATTCTTTATTGAGGATAAATGTAGATGTCTATGGGTCGCAATAACCACTTACCATCAGGTGGAATGTGTGCTCGTCTGACACCCTATCCTATAAAAAAGCCTGCCGCATGAATATTGAGGCAAATTCTTCCTACAACGAGAGTCATGTCCAGCAATGGACTTTTACGGGTTAATAAAAAATAATAATAAGAAGAAACTCCTTTATCTTCCTAGTACTCTTAAATTCTCCTGTTTTCCTTTGTATATGCATTTTACACCTGTGACTTGCAGTAGCAGTCTTCAGTTTTGACGCCTAAACGGAAACGAAGACCACAGAAACATGGTAAACACAGTTTAGTTTTGTTTGCTTTTATTGTGAAATAGTTGGCATCCCTATTTATTTATTGTTTATAGAATAAAGATGGCAAGCGAGTACACAGTTCACCTCATGGTAAGAATTGCTGTGGCCCATAGACATCTACATCTGTCCTCGATTACGAATTGTCACCCATGTCACGCGTTGTCACCCGTGAGGACTAAGATGGAATGCCTCGTTTTCAGTAAAAAGAGTCTCCGGTTCTCTACACTCGCCATACGAAACACAGCGGCATTAAACTGCTATTTTACGCTGGTATTCTGTGAGAGCGTGGTCCTTCCCCGGTCGAGCCAACCCATTCGTGGTACAACTATACAACTAAGATAGCTGCAGCATGGCTCTACCACGTACATTTATTTATTTATCACCTTCAAACAAACTCTATAGCGTTTAGACTAATCACCGTCATCATAAACACTGACCTTTGTAAATGTCGTAATTATGGATAATTTATATTTTATGAAATTATAATGGAGCCGGATTTTCACATACTTCCACGGTCCAGTGACCTCGAAGAATAAACCTTTCCTGCCGACTTCCAAACAGGAGACGGTACTCAATTCGACTCATTGTTTTTTTTTTATTATGTTACCTCATAACTTTTTACTGGGTAAACCGATTTCGATGATTCTTTTTTATTTGAAGGCTGGTACTTCTCGTGTAGTCCCATATGAATTTGATCAAGGTCAGACCAATAGTTTTTGAGTTATTCTTAATAACTTATACTGAAGTCGGCTGTACAATTTTTTTTATTTTAAATTATTGTCTATCAAATGTAGTATTTTCGAGGCTATTACCTGCTAAAATATAATGATGGCAAATAAAAACGTGTTGAATGGTACCTATTTTTTAAATATTTTTTTATATAGTTTTTGCTGTTTTGAGCCTATGTTATCAGCCCCATGCCATAGTCAGCCTTTATTAAAATACTAGCAATCCACCCTGGCTTCGACTGGACAGTATCTATTAATATAGCGTTATTTAGGTTTAAGATAGCCAGAGACCATATATGTTATCAATTTGTCGTTTTTTTTTTAAATAAGCTAAGTATTTCGAATAAAATATAGCCTAGATTACTAGTTTTTTTTTTATAGGAGAGAGGGCAAACGAGCATGCGGCTCACCTGATGGTAAGTGACTACCGCTGCCCATGAACAACTGCAGCACCAGGGAGGGAATTGCAGATGCGTTGCTGATCTTTTAAAAAGGAGTACGCTCTTTTCTTGAAGGTTGCTAAGTCGTATCGGTCCGGAAAAATCGCTGATGGTAATCGATTCCACAAGGAAGTCGTGCGAGGAAGAAAACATCTTCTAAATCGCACAGTGGTGGACCGCCAATCATCCAGATGGTGTGGATGGTATCGGGAGTTCTGCCGCGATGTGCGTTCATTCCCTCCTGACATTGTTCTCTGTCTATTCATAAAGTTTTATCACAATAGGATCAGCCATTCCGAAGATTACTCCGGACAGACAAACATTTTATAAATGGTTTTGTCACTTTGTTTATCATAGTTATATAGTCACTTCAATTTTATTGCATGCCTAGCGCAAAGCGCGTAGGTATGTTCTACTAGCGCTTAAAAATCAAGATTTCAACGTTTTGTCGCACAAAATCGTATCTAACAATCAGATTGTACATATAAATGATATAAAAAGCACATTGTCAGAAAGATAAATGATTGTTGAATTTATTATTACTTTTTTAAATCGATTAATTGCCATTTATTTATATAAACAGATGGTACTTTTGCTTACTATATATTTTTATAATTATAGTTTTAATATTATACAGTAGGGCTTGCAAACCTAATCGGAGGCGTATCTATACGTGTTTTGAGCGTTATTGAAATGAAGTAACATGTTATTTGACTCGGCATTATTATGCAGGCAATTTAAATCCAAGGTAAAATGTCTTGGATGTGTATTTATAACAATCATCAAAACACCTGTTTGTAGGCAAAGAAAAGACGCTACACGACATCATAGATCCTGTTCAGTTCAAAATGCCACATAATTTTAAATAGGAGTATTCTTT